TAGTTTATCTCAAGGTGAAATTGCGAAGTGTGATATGAATGAGGACTCTTTAAACAAACCTTTGCTTCTAACAAATTTACGGATTTCCAGTTTGTTTAAATTTTCCGCAAATTTTCAACGATTAAGGATCTTATCTAGCGGAATTTTGATTACAACATGATATCAAACTCTTATGATTAAAATATTTCATAAACAACGCTAGTTTAATAACTCTTATTATTAAAAAGACTGACTGCTGAAGTTCATAGAACCTACCTAAAGTTCGTAGAACTTCTCTGAAGCGTTAAGGTCTTTCCTGAAGGGTTCATTGAAGTTTGTATTGCCTGAATTTCACGGGACTTCCCCGAAATTCGAAGGACTTTTTTTAAGATCTCAGGACTTCCCTGAAGTTCGGAGTTTTTTGAAATTCATAGGAATTTCTTAAATATCGTAGAAGTACCACGAAGTTCGTAGAAATTCTCAGAAGTTCGTAAGACTTCCTTCAAGTTCGAAGAACTTTCTCGAAGATCTGAGGACTTCCCTGAAGTTTGAAGGATTTAAAGGACCCTAAATTTAGAAGAGCTTCCCTGAAGTTCATACGGCTTTAAATATCGAAGGGTTTTCCAAAAGTTTGTTAATTTCTTGGAAATTCCCTGAAGTTTGGAGAGCTCCCATGAATTTCGTAGGACTACCTGTAGTTCAATAGACTTCTCGGATGATCTAGGAACCTTTTTGAGCTTGGAGAACTATGTTAAGTTCAGAGGACTTCCCAAGAGTATTGAAGACTTCTCTGAAGCTCGGAAAAAAATCCATAAGTGTCATAGGATTATCCTTAAGTTTTAAGCAATTCCTAAATGTCGTAGAAGTTACATTAAATGTGTAGAAAATTCTGTAAAATTCGTAGTTATTCCCCAAAGATTAAAGGACTTCCCTAAAGTTCGCAAGACTTCTCTGAAATTTGTAGAACTTCTCTGAAGGTTCGGAGAGATTTCCTTACGGTCGTAGGTCATCACAGTAGTTCACAGGATTTTCCTGAAACTTGTAAGACTTTCCCGAATTTTGTAGAACTTGCATGAAGTTCAAAGGCCTTATCTGAAGTTTTTAGAAATAGAACTTTTTTATTGAACATGTTGAACAGGTACTTCAAAGTAGTTACGCGTCGGCACTGCTTAAGTCTGCTATCAATTAAGCACAAATCATACATGCAATTGATTCGAGAAAAAAAAAAAATTAAAAATAAATACAAAAAAAATTTTCAAATTCTTATGGTAAATTTTGTTCATCAATGTTTAGTTGTTTGAAAGATTTAGCTTGAACAAAATGGTTAGTTTTGACCTGATTATAAAAAGAAACTTTGACATACATAAAATTTAAAACCTATTTAAATTATACAAATAAGATTATTTTCCTGGTAGACTTATGAAATTCCTAGTTTTTTCCCGGTTTTTCCTGGTGAGAATAAATTTCCGACATTTTCCCGGTTTTCCTGGTTCACTTGCCACCCTGCAAGTTTTAAGTTCCGAGATCTTGACGGAAGACCAAATAACTTCAAAGAAGATTAGACATTTTTAGGCAGTCTTTGAGATCTTCAGGAAAGTTCCGAGTAGCGCAAGATCAAAGAACTTCAGATCACTTCCACCAACTTAAGGACAACTATCAAGAAATATCAAGGAATTATTACAAATGGCGGTGTTTCATTAATATTATCCAACTTACCGGAACATGAAAGTAACGTGAACGTTTCGAATAGCTCACGAAAAATTCCCGGAGCTTCAGTGAAGATCAAAGAACTTCAAGGCTGTTCAATTAACTTCAGAAAATAGGTGGAAACTGTTAACAAGTTCTACTAAATTCAGGGAAATATAGAGATCTTTAAGAAAGTTTACAGAACTTTAGGAAAGCATCGAAAACCAGTGGCGTCACCCTAACCTCAATCTACCTGTTCAACAACTCTCAAAACGTAAACAAACAAAACAATATTGGTTCCAATGGATACAAATAAGTGAAACTAGAAGACCCCATGCCTTTTGAAACTGATTTGAATGTAAACATGACCCTAAATAACGTTTTCAAAGTTGTTGAACAGGTAAAAAGTGAGGTTACGCGACGCCACTGTCGAAAACGTCAAGTAACAAGACTAGATTTCCGGAGAAGTTTAAAGATCTCGAGGAGTAAGTTCTGATATATTACGTGCAGTTTGATGAACTTTGAAAGACCCTCAAGAGCTTCAGTGGAAATCTTATAGCAAAATAGTTTCAACTTCAGCAAAATAATCGGAGTTTTAAAAAAGTTCCGAAAATCTTAGGGAAGCTCATAGAACTCCAGTGAAGTTTAGGAAAACTTTTAAATCTTCATGAAAGTTCAAAAAATGTCATTGCATAGACTCCAGAGCAGTTCAATGATCATCAGGATTACACAGATTGATTGAAGTTCCGTACACATTAGGGCAGTTTCAATTCTAGATAGAGCTGGAATTAGGGCGTAACAGCTTTTGTAAACAATGACTTCTCTCGCTGATTTCTAAAAAGTCAAGGCTCGCTCACGTAAACTAACATCACCATCGGATAGGGGAAGGCTTTCTCTATCTGATTGTTGTATTGGTTTGCGTGGGCGTACCTTGAATTCCTATTCCAGAGAACTCATTGTTTACAAAAGCTGTTACGCCCTAATTCCAGCTCTATCTAGAATTATGGTGGGAACTTCAGGGAAGATCACCGCAGTTCTATTTTTTTAGAAAGATATTAGTATTCAGGAGGTCCAGAGAACTTTAGAGAAGCTAATAAAACGTCTGAATATTTCACAGAAGTTCAGAGAACTCAAAGGAAAAAAAGTCTGAAAAACTTCATTTCTTGTGAACTATAAATCAATTCCGAGATCATCAGACAAGATCAAAGATCTCCAGAGTCATTCAGATGAAAGATCTTAAGATTTGTTGAGAAGTTTTGAAATTTTCAGGGAAGTTCTAAATATTTCAAGATGTTCCGACAATTCCACAAAAGTTGCGGAAATATTACAAAAAATGGTGAAACTTTCGGGAAGATCAAATAACATAACACAGTCCCATTAAGTTTATGAAAACTGTGGGAATTTTTAAAAAACATCTGGATACTTCAGGGAAAGTATTTCAGGATAGCCCAATGAACTTCAAGAACTTCCCTGTAAAAGACGTTAGGGGCTGTTCATTAACAACGTAGTTTTTTTTTTTTTTTTTTTTTTTTAAGTTCTTGACCTCCCCCCTCCCCCTGCGTAGACAATTGCCTATACAATTTTTTTTATGTTGTATGGGCCGTGGATAATTGCCAACCCCCCCCCCCCTTAAACTGTCTACGTAGTTTGTGGACAGCCCCTTAGGGAATTTTAGGAATGTTTAGAGATCTTTGTGAAAGATCCGTGAACTTCAAGGCAGTTCTGATAACTTTTGGGAAAACAAGGGATCTTAAGTGCTGCTTTATGAACATCAGGAAAATATAGGACCTATAGATAAGGTCTGAAAACTTATGGAAAGTTTCCAGAACTTCAGGAAATGACATCAGCATGGCGGGATAGACCAATAGTAAAGGGTTTTGCTTATCAAGGTGATGGTGAATGCATGTTCTGATGTGTTGCATTTCTGCACAAATCTAGTCTTAATGTCAACAATTTTAAAATCTAATTTAGGAACGTTCGCATCTTGGTGGAGATCAAAAATTCTTGTATCAAAGGGACGATCAAGAACCATCCTCAGCATTCTATTCTGGATTTTGTTCCTATGAGTCTGGGCACATGATTGCCACACCGAATATGGGTAGAGGATCGCAGGTGCTATGATTTGTTTGTAGACAGCCAGTTTGTTCACCCTTGAGAGGCTGAATCTGCGACAAATCAGCGGATACCAAAGCAGAAAACATGACTATGGTTTTCTCTACATGCGAACGGAATAGGAGCTTTTTTCATCCCGAGATAGGTTACTTCGGCAGACCACTCAACCCATGTGCCATCCATGATTACAGTACAAGATGGAGCCTGTTTTAGTTTGGGCGATTTCCGATGGAGGAACATAATTGTTCGAGTTTTAGAGACATTGATTTGATTTTTCATGTGTTAAAGGCATCAAGGCATCGTTGAAGTTTGTCAAAACATTTCAGATCCGTCACCTATTTGCTATTGTATGCACATTTGTTGAATTTAAGTTAGTGTCAGTGTTTAGGTATCTGTAATTGAAGTCCGTGATAGGGATTTGATATCGGAGTAGTTTATCTACACTCGATAGTCGTGGCAAGCAAGTAAGCAAGTTTGATAACCTTTCAATAGTTTGCTAATGATAAACAATTATAATTTAAAAACCTCAACAAATATTACTTGAAATCTGATTCAAATGGAAAATAAAGATTGTAAATCCATCCAAAAATAGCCTAGTTCTAAGCGTTTAAAACCTTACATGTTTTTGTGACGCTGCTACGATGAAATGGTACCTCATACCATAGCCCATTCTACAAAGACGTAGTTCTACATCAAAAGGAAAAATAGAACAATCTGCGTGCATTGTTGGTCTATTTTTAGCCAATCTATTTTAAACTGCAAAGCAAATATGTGAGTTGACAATCTGGAAAGTTAAAATCCAGCTTCTCCAGGGAAGCCATAGAACTTCTCCGGGAGGTTCGTAAGATTTTTCGGTGGAAATAATGCGACATTTTTTGGACATCAACTGGACTTCTCAGGGGGAGGCCATAGGACTGCTCGTAGGAGTTCATAGAACATTTAGGTTAACTTCAAAGAAATGTTATGTGTTCACACAATGGATAATTGTTTTTAGATTTAAATTTATACGTATTTGACAGTGGTATTTTCCGAAATTTTCTATTCAATGGACAAACCAAACTTTCAATTTATTATAAGTCACCTTTATGCTGCTTTAAATTGTGTGGATGCCTTAAGGACTAGGTGATAACGGCCATTTGTGGATCCCATCGATCTTGTTCTTAAGATAGATTTTGATACGATTTTGAAGTATCGAATGGACTAGTTGTGGAAAATCTACTTACCTTTTTCAAATTTTGTAATCCAGTTATTTTACATTCCCATGTCACTGGATTTTGTTCATTAGTTATCCAATTTTTGTTCAATAGTAGCTGTACAGTTTCCTTTACATATTTTGATTTTGTTTCACGTGTTCTCCGATTTGATTTTTCTCCTTCTTCAAAAACCACTTTGAAATCTGATTCTCACGAATGACTTTCCTCTGTTTGTTTTCTCGAAACATTTATCCACTTGCTCATTTCACTTGGAATGATCTGGTATATTCATTCATTTTCCGGCACTTATCCAACCTACAACTGCTCATTCCAGTATTAAGGTTAATGTCACTTTCTTCTTATTCTTTCCAACCGCACTGATTTCACCTTAATTAATCGACAATCACCGCCCAGGTCTGCGGGTACAAAATATTCTCACTAAAAAAACACAAATGAAACGGGAAGAAAAAAAAACGCAAAATCAACAAACAACATCGGAAAGAGTATCAAAGTAGGCTTCATCGTCGGTTTTTTCCCTTCACCACTCTGTTTCGTCGTTCGGTTTTCTTCTACCATCATCATTTCTCTTCCTTTCCCTTCCCGATCGCGATCTATCGTCGTTCGTCTTCGTTGTAACCGATCATCATCATCATCGTTTTGTATTGCTATTCTCTTGTTTCTTGTTCAACAACTACCACCACCACCACCACCACCGCCCAGCCACGCAAATGACCAAAAAACCGGTGTTTTGTTGTTTTGTCTCATCGGCCCCTTCGGTGTTCAGCTTTTTTTTGTGTTTGAGGGATTGGATTTACGACGATGATGACGGGTGTAAATAAGTGAATGCGAATGGGTATTTACAATAATCGCTTCGAGTGTGTGCGGTTTGTTCTGCTGCAGGTGTGAGTGCCGCGCTCTGTCGTCACTGCGGTCGTGAGAGTGTTGTTTTTATTCCCTATCCTGCTTGATCCGAATATGCTTCCTTTGGTGAAGCTTTGATTGATTTTGACATTGGAATCATATTCAGTTGGATACATATTTTGACTTAAAACATAAGCTCATAAACATAAACTCAAAATTTGTTCTAGCAAAAATCTAAATTGTTTTTGAACAAACAGCACAATAATTTCTCAATGAAAACAATTAACAAAATTTAATTACGAACGAAACAAAAAATGCAATTATTTGACTATCGCCCTCGCCTAACAAAAACTGCCCCTACTTGTACAAAGCTCACTTCGATCAAAGCAGTACGAAGCATGCGACCAACCACCACCGATCGGAGAGCGATCATCGCGATCGCTCCAACTACCTTTCGCTCACGCAATCCAATCCTGTCCTGATCCGATCTGCCAGTCCTGTGTATACGAACACCCTCACTAACACCAGTCCGCTAGTCCGTGGAAGCAAAAACATAAGTAAAACCCTTCGGGGTGGATAGGTCACTCATTGCGAAACTATTCTGCATTTTAGGGGGCCTACTCTGCCACTGCCCCTGACAAGCGAGCGGAACTGTCAATTAGCGGCACCACCACCACCACCAACTTGGCGTTCTCCTAGTCACCACTTGCGCTTGTTTTGGACCATTCGCACCGAAATCCACAATAGCACTTAATACTTCAAAGAATCGCACATTCAAATCACTCACTGGCTGCACCATTCCGTGCCGCAAATGTCACACACCGGAATACTTTCTATTCCAACGGCACTGGAACACTGCCCGGTCATCTAGTGCAACAATGAAAATAAGTTGAAAAGGGTTGCACCAGGATCCTTTTTGCACACAGAGGAAAAAAAACCCCTTATAAATAGCCGCCAATGATATTCTTGTCAGTCGTCAAAGGAATGGCTAACGTCGAATTCAAAACGCCGCCATACGCGTAGAAATGTAGCGAACAACTACCGACTCGGCGACGGCACAACACACGGTTGACCCTCACTCGCTTTCCTCTTCCAATCCACTATTACGAATACATTCAAACCGTTTCCTCCGGATGGTGGATGAAATTCAGTGCTGATTGACTATCTCTTTCTACCTCAGTACTCCTCCTCTGGACGAACGGGATGCCAATATAGCAACGCTGTTGCTTTCGCTTCTGAACTGGAGTGTGTGTGGATGGATGCGTTCAGAAATATTTTTGCCCTTTCGTCTTGCACCTCGTTCGTGTCACAATAGGCTTTGAATGTAGTGGTGAAAGCCTTTGCAGTTTCATTCATAATTATCATCGTTTGCGTTTTGATCGGTGCTTCGTTTGAAGCAACGTTCCTCCCATGTGTGCGTTGTGTTTTGTGTTTTTCGGTTTCTCTCTATCTCCGATGCATTCCAAGTTCAGCTGTCAAAGCGACACAGGCGAGCTTTGCTCGAGGGGTGATATTTATTATGGTGTTTTGTTTTGTAATTACTTATTGCTTGTGTTTGACAGACGAGGGGCATAAAACCGGAACGATTTAGAACTTTTGCAGCGTTTTACACTCAAAAAATTACTAATCTAAAATAGATTAAAATTTAACCCTTATAGCCTGGTACGCAGCTGAAAAGTAATGACGTTTTTACGTGCTACGGGATAGGACACGGAATGCTAAAGAAATTATTTTCCTTTAGCATTTCTTGACCAAGTACGCAGTTCAAAAGAAATCGGTAAAGGAAAGATCGATTACATTAGTATCATGATCGACATGAAGGTGGCGCATTCTGAATGCAATTTCACTTTCCTTGCGGAATAATGGTCTGATCAATTATTCCGTTAGGTAATTTTAACGTTTGTTGTAAAAATGATGTTTTGGATGCATTTTAACAACATAAAAATTGATAATTCAGTGCCAACATTTCAAAGGGGCGTAATTGCATTTGTAAACAATGGCTTTAGCCATTGATTTCTCGCAAATAAAAGCTCACTCATGAAAATTGATTGCACTAACAGGTAGAGTAATGTTTCCTCTTCCAGCTAGCATTGTTAATTTGGAGGAGTGAGCTTTTATTTGCGAGAAATCGACGGCTAAAGCCTTTGTTTACAAAAGCAATTACGCCCCTTTGAAATGTTGGCACTGAATTGTTGATTTTAAAATTAGACGACACCTACCTATGATCTCAAAATTTAGCAAAAGACACCTCTCTATAGCTGTTAAATTTACTTTTGGGAATATTCCCCAAAAATTACTTTTCCGTTTTCTTTTCAGCTGCGTACCAGGCTTATTTAATTAATCATTTTGTTCGACCATTTTCCACAGAGATGGCGCTGTTCCGCTGGTACACAGCAAAAAAAAGTTGTTGAATATTGCATCGAAACAGCTGCACATAGGTCAATCCATCGGTTGTGTAATATTACGATGAGCAATGTACTCGAGGGCCTTTGATACAATATACAAAACCGATGTAATTTTTCCGATGTAATAAATTTGACGTACAAGAAGCAATGTACACGGAAATGAAAAACTACCCAAAATTAAGTACTTTTCCCTCAATTCTGGGGTTCAGCCCAATAACCCAAATTTGGGTAAATCGCATATAGTAGTTTCCATTTAACACCGGCAAAAAAATTACCTACTCTTAGGCATATTCTACCCAAAATTAAGTTTAATTCACGTAAATTTAAGAATATGCAATTTACTCAAAAGTAACTTATTGGGCTGAACTATATCGTTGGGTCGAATCTCTCGTTCCTTTTTTGACAACAATAACGAGTGCAAGTGAGAGGCTGAAGTCAATATTAAGTAAAAAGAACTCAAATTTTGGATAGTATTTTTTCTCCGTGTACACAATTGGATGTAATGGCAAAACGATGTACACGGTCGTTCAAAGTTACTCACTGGCTGAGCAAAATTTAATAACAATCTCAATGTTTGTTTAAGGAAAAAACCCCAATCAGCGGGAGGATATTTGGAGCTAATACGACCGCAGCTCAGAGCACTGGCTTTCAGAGCACAGCAGTAGGAAAACTTATGGCAACGTGCCACCCGGGAAGAAGAACCAAGCAATGGATGCAACCTGGAGTGCACTTTGCAATTCGACTGTTTGCGATCGTGCGTTTGGTTTTTTTTTTTCGTTTATTGCTATTACCCAGACAACCAGAAGTCGTATAACAATGTACAGACAGTATCGTAAATTGCTACAGTTTAAGTCAAAATCGCATATTAGAATGGCAAACCTCGCATTATGTTTAAGTTAAATCGTATAGAATGCAAATTTCCGACTTATATGCGATGACTCATTTTTCCATCGTACTGTATCACAAATTTAATCGGATTACATCGTAAGACTTTTCAAAATGGATTTGTTATTACAGATCAAATTGCATATGATGTTAAATCAACTCGTTTAAAATTAAACGAAAATATGCACGTATATGGCCTCCACTTTTGTACGTATAAGCCATTTCTTTGCATTCTATACGACTGGTTTGTTTGTATATATGTTTGTATATCACGAAAACAACTTTGAATATACGTGCATTCTGGTTGTCTGGGTAGCTATTCACATCGTTTTATTTATATGCCACATTACATCAGCTTTCCGTAAAAATGCATCGTCCACCCCGACACCCCGGCTTTGATTTCAGCGCAAGCTTACTCGGTTTCTCTGTCCAAGACGTCTGCGTCGCCGAGAACAGCATCGTCTGTCGTTTTTCTGCAAAAAGAAATTTCAATCAACAAAATGCTCACCAACTGCAATAATCACCACACTCACTAGGAAGGATACCGATGATCTGCTTCATATCCTCCTCGAATACAATTTTCAAGATTTTGAACAGGAAATTCGGCGTCCCCTTCAAATGATCCAGCAGACGACCCGGCGTAGCCACCATAATGTTAAACCAAATATATTATATTAACAATATGATCCACTCTTTCGCATAGCTGGCGAATCGAATTTTTAGCGATGAAAGCACCTCTGTGGCCAAAAAGGCTACCAATGTATTTGTTTATCGTCACGAGGGGTAAACCAAATGAAAATTTGTTGAATATTTCAAATGAATGTATTTCAGCTTTTTATTTAATTTGATGACAACAGTGACATGTCCGACAAATATTAAAGTAATATACACAATGTAATTAATGAAAATAATTTGACTCTTACTTTTGTAATAAGTGCTATATTCGCACCCCTCATTGTAATTGAATGATTGTTGCTGACCTTTTTCAACGCTAGATGGTGCGAGAAGCAACATTTTGCTGGTCGCCATTGCAACATTTGGAAAAGAAATGAATGGATCATATTTTTAATATGATATATTTGGTTACACCCAAAACAAAGTGTCGCATTTTTTCCGAGTCCAGCCTTTAATATGCCTCAACGTAATGATGCTAACGTATCAAGAAACTAGATGTAATTGTGAAAAATATATGCAAAGTGACACCAATTCGATGTAATATTATATCGCTATTCGAATTGGGTTCTTAAATTTTGAAAAATATATCGGTTTTTATAAATCATCTGAAAGAAAAATTTGGCTAAAAATTCGATTCGCCAGCTAAGCGAAAGAGTGGATCATATTGTTAATATAATATATTTGGTGTAACTTTTTATCGCGTGGGTAAAAATTAATGAAATTTTGGGTAATACTAGTTTAGAGTGTTATGTATATGTGTGCGATCTGTCAAGTAGTTTTCAAGATGAATTCGAAACAATAAGAGCTACGCCAGCAAATCTTGGGCACGGTGATCGATAATCCTGGTCAGTCGCACAGATGGATCGGCAAAAAGCTTGGAATCCACCATTCCACCGTGTCCCGCGTTGTGAAGATGTTCCAAGAGACAAAGACCATCGAGCGGCGCGCTGGAAGCGGCCGAAAAGCGAAAACGGTATACCCAGAGAAGGCGCGGAAGATAAGGCAGTACTTTAAGAATAACCCGAACCATTCCACCCGAGACGTGGCCAAAAAGGTCGAAGTGGTTCGTCCAGCAGACCATGAAGCGGGCTGGGCTACGTGTTTTTAAGGTCAGGAAGGCGCCAAACCGGACTGACAAGCAAAACACGGTGGCCAAATTGCGTGCGCGGAAGCTGTACCGTTAGGGTGCTTCATTCTGAAAAAAGTGATGAATTTCTGATGGGCCACCCTCCAGTTCGATTCATAGCCCCAAAATATGAACCTGTGCAAAAATTGGTAAAGATTGATGAAGGTTTAGAGGTCGCGCCAATGATTTGAAATTTGTATGGGAATTACTATGGAAGAATTTAAAAAATCGCTTATATCGCTATAACTTTGCTTCTACTTGTCCAAATGTCGAAAAAATTTAGTATGTTATTGCTATGGCAATAAACAAAAAGCCTACAGTTGCTACGCTCAGTTTTGCAGCGTATCAAGAATTATAAAAATGTGAAAAAATGGCAAAATAGGGTAAATTGACAGATGAATATGTACAAGGCAACAACGCCAATTTCATCGCAACAACAACAGGCTTGTTGATCATTGTCATGACAACCACATATATTTTTTTTTCAACGTTTGGACAACTACAACCAAAGTTAGAGCAATGTAAACGAAAATCAATAATTTCCCATACTAATTCACCAAAATCTCCATACAAAATCCAAATCATTGGCGCGACCTCTAAACCTTCATCAATCTTTACCATTTTTTGCACAGGTTCATATTTTGGGGCTATGAATCGAACTGGAGGGTGGCCTATCAAAAATTCATCACTTTTTTCAAAATGAAACACCCTACTGTACCGTGAGTGGCTGGTCAAGCCAGACTTTCTCGTCATAGACGACGAGACATACATCAAGGCGGACACCAAACAAATCCCCGGCCTCGAGTTTTTTGTCGGTACGTCCCGCATGGAGGTTTCCTGAAAAGTTCCGGAAGAGAAAGATGGACAAATTCGCGAAGAAGTACCTGTTGTGGCAGGCGATCTGCGAGTGCGGACGGTACAGCAAGCCGT